CAAATATTTAAATAACTAAAAGAAAGTGAATTTTAAAACGTATAAAAAGTTTACGATTTTCTCGACTCAATCATTGAAAGCTTAGCTCTCGATAGCATGTGTTGTGCTATCTTTGAGTCAATGGTCTCGTATTTAAACTCAAAATTATTGCGACATTTCTCTCGCAATTGAATCAGAAATGTCTGTTCCATCGGTTCATTCAATTCAATGAGAATCCAGTGTTGGGTCGGATCTGATATTAAGAGACAATACAATAATTATAACGCAATTCATATACAAATGAATACACAATAGTAATGATAACAAACCTATTGAATGGACATTAAAGTGACATTTATTGATGAAACTATTGTTGAGATAAAACATGTCTCGGACCACATAATAATGTGGCGGAAGATTAAGTTTAATGCAAAGCATTGGTAACGAGGAATCGGTACACGCTTTCAGACACTCGATGTTATAAAACGAAATCTTAATTATTTCCAGTTCTTTGCTTTGGTTACCATTTGGCACAAAATTATTGAAAACAATATTGTATTCATTGAATTCAATGGACGTGACATTTATCACACATTTGCCAAACAGCAAACATTTGGGAATGATTTGCAAACCAATCACTAATTCTTCCCCAACTTCTGATGTATTGAGTGATGTCTCCAAATGTTGGTATTTGTAAACCATTTCTTTGTACAAATCATCCGTTTGTTTGCATTTCAACTCCAAATTCAATGCTTTCTCTTCAGAAATCCTTAATTTTGTCTCTAATTCTTTGGCCTTTTGTTTCCATTCATTGGATTTCGTTTCACATTCATTTAGGGCTTTCTTAAAGCTTTCAATACAGTTGTGGTCATCCCTAACGAGACCCACAGAGAGACCACATGTTTGACACAATCGGTAATGACATGTCTTGAGATGAGTGGACAACGATTTTAATGGACACACTTCTGTACATCCGTTCCACTCGTAATCACATGTGATCTTCAATTTACCGATCGTTTTATTTGTGCGCCGATTCTTATAAACCAAAACATTGCCACCGATTATGACCTCATTATTACTTCGAGACCGCTTTCTTGTGGCCAATGTTTCTCCACATTCGGGACACTTTTTGCTGGTCTGCGGTTTTGCGAGCCATTTATTGAGACACTCGTAACAAAAGGTATGTCCACAGGGAGTGTCCACCGCGTTGTCCAACACTTGTAGACAACGATCACATTTGTAACCCTCGGCAAAAGCGACCACTGATTCGTTGGCCTTAAGATCGGGGAAACGATTGCAATCAAAGCCCGGCATTGAATGAATTGAGTAATTGAATGATTATTTCCAATGTAATTGAAATCAATTGAAAATCAATCACTTCTGACCCAAAGTTACTATAGTTTCGCTGAATGTCTGTCTTTGAACCCTCGAAGACTACGATTGCTATCGATTGTGATATTAATCGATGACATTATATATGTCTTAAGCCGATTGAGCGGTAATTTCCGGTACTTCCGGTCAATCCCGACACAAAGAGATACGCGATTTAGTTATTAATTTGAGTCTTTATTAAATTTTTTCGACGATTATAACGAATAAACATTTAAGACTTCAAAAGAGTTGTCGAAAACAAAGTTAAAAACGATAAAAAGGTTTGTTAAAAGTAAATGAATTTATAAATTAAAGTAAAACTCAAAATGAAATTTTCAAAAATCAACGCATAAAATATAGGACCACTCTCTCTGGAGTACAAAACGGCACTGAAGTGTGTGAACAAAGCAGAGCCTATATTAAGCTTAAAACTAACGCTTTTGGTCTCAAAAGCATTGTTTAAGTTATTGAAAAAGTGAGGGAAAATCGCTGACACGTGACTGACTTACAGCATAATTGGTGCAAAAACAATGAAAAATTTTCAGAGATAATCTAAACCAATGTGTGATATTAGCTTTATAATAGCCTATCGATTACACAATATACGTTGAAAAATGTTATACAAAAGCATAAGCTGTAAACACATACCAAACACGCCGCTGTCCGCCGCCTATAACATACATACAATCACTTCTCATACCATAAACACTATACATAAATATATATCAATCTAACGTATAAACGCCTGTAAAATGCATTAATAAATAACGAGAGTCCACAATACTAAGTGCTGTCCGTTACTCTGCCTGACACCGTTCAGGAGTCGGCCACTCTATCTATTTATATTCAGTGTCGTCACTCTTTGCCCGACTTCGCCCACACGGCGTTCAATCCGACCTCTGCCTCGTCTCGCAGGTCTTGGCCATCCATATCTCTAAACATGTTCACCCATTCATCCCACTGTCCGACTTCGCACCCGATCGAAGTCAAGTCACTCGTGTCTATACTCTGTGTCCATAAGTGCTCAGCCGAGAGTCGCCCACTCATACATTTGTTACCCATTGTATTGTCTCGTCGGCAAATCACTCGTGCATTCGTCACAGTCTCCGACTTCGTTCACTCTTCACTAACCTCTCAACGCACCCCACAATCCGACGGTAGACCCCGTCGTTTCCCAGACTTATCGTTAAGGGTTCCCGAAGCGCACGCGAACTAGACTTTTGTCACAATTTATCTAATCCTATATAACCGTATTTTCCTCATTAAAATACCGGTAATATTATGCGAAATTCAACTAAGGGGTAATACTATCTATGTAATGTTACCCACATTTCTGAAAAATCACATTTGAACAGAAATTCACATAATATTACCGGTATTTTTATACGGATAAATACGGTAATGGTATGTTAACTCGATTTTTACCCATCATTTTTCATTTATTCATAAAAATAATTATTTAAATTCTCGTAAAAGTAGTTTAATTAAATGTATTTAAAAACAAACATTTAATAAATCAACAAATAAATCAAACAATAAATCAAATATTAAATGAATGCAATGATTGAGATATTAAAGATGTCACTCAAAGAGTACAGCAAATCAATGAAATGCTTAAAACAATGGATAGAGTATATAACTCTCGATGGCAATCGCATCCAAAGCCAACTCTTCCCAAAGTTATTGTCCACAAAGTTATGGGAAGAATAAAATGTATGGCAGATATGGATCACATTATACGGCATTTGAGGAGACAATCAAATGGTTTTTAGAAGTGCTAAACACGTGTCCAATTGTGCCAATCCGTTGTCTTCGACGGATCCATTGATGGCAACAAATATCAAGTGTTTCGATGAAAGCATTTTTGTCATAAATAATTGTTGGGTTGGGTTAGGTTAGGTTATATTTAACCATTTACGTGCAATAATGTATTGCAATGAGTTGTGTACAGCTAACAGTACTGTAAGCTATATTAGGTTAGGTTAGGTTTGGGGGAACGGGTCATGTAATCGCATTAAAAAGTAATCATTTAGAAATATTGTCACAAATGACTACAACTGTGGCTTGAATTGGTCCGCTCTTTCCCATTATGTCTCTGTTTTGCGCGAATTTAATGTTCAAATTATTCAGACATCTATTTTAATCAATTTTAAAAATAAATAATATGTTAACTATTGTTAAAGTGAATGACAATTGACTTTAATTTAACTCAAATTGTTTATAACTGCAAAACTAATTACTTTCACAATTTAGTTGTAATTGTGTTTTTCGGTTAATAATCAATAGAAATTGAGAATTTCAACCGTTAATTGAAATTCAAAATATTTGGTATAATTATAGTATAGGAAGTGATGGCAAACAGTGATTACTATAAGATATTAGGAGTGTTGAGGACTGCGAGTCAGTTGGACATCAAGAAGGCGTACCACCGATTGGCCCTTCGCTACCATCCGGACAAAAATAAATCCAAAAATACTGGCCATAAGTTTATACAGATTCGTGAGGCATATGAAGTGCTCAGCGATATTGACAGACGCAGAATGTATGACATCTCACACCCGAAGCAAACAAATAAACCAAAGACTTCGCCAAAGACTAAGACCAAAACCTCCACAAAGAGTAGCGGTGCGAAGCCGACCGCAACCGCCAATCATGAATGCATAGAACACACGGTGTATGTGTCGCTCCGGGATGTGTTTCTGGGCTGTACTAAGCGTATGAAAGTGACCCGAAAGGTGTGGTCTTCGCCCCAAGAATACAGAACTGAATCGGAAATACTGTCGGTCGAAGTGAGGCCGGGCTCGCAGTCGGGCACTCGTATTGTGTTTGTTGGCCGCGCGGACCGGCCGTACGATTCGGTTGCCGGCGATATAGTGTTTGTGCTGAAAGACAAGCCCGACGACCGGTTCCAACGCCACGGCAATGATGTCATATACAGCGCGCAAATGAATTGTACACATAATTGTACACAAAGTACACAAATTCACATGCAATGGGATGGAAAGCAATGGTACACTTACAACAACATGTATTGTCACGTCAACCACTCCATCGCTGTTCCCCTATTGACCGGCGGGACACTGGATGTGGTGTTGGACTCGAATCAGTGGAACTATTTGTATTGTTATCGTGTGTTAGATATAGTTAAAGTTGGTTTAGGACTTCCCGACCAAAATAATGGACAAATAAAAGGCAATCTTATCATTAAATGTGTACTCAAGTGATACCCAAATGGTTATTATCGATGATTAGTTATCGTGTGTTAGATATAGTTAAAGTTGGTTTAGGACTTCCCGACCAAAATAATGGACAAATAAAAGGCAATCTTATCATTAAATGTGTACTCAAGTGATACCCAAATGGTTATTATCGATGATTTGATTCATAGAGAAATCACATTTCATTCATACAAATAAGTTAATCGTTAATAACGTTATGATATTAAAAAAATCAATTCTATTATCAAAATAATTTCTGTTATAAATTGTTTTAAAAAATACATTAAAAACTCATTTTTCGCATTACTTTCTAAACATTATATCAAAAAACTAATAAAACATTCATTTACTAACTTGTAAGTTAGTTAATTTATTTTATATTTAAATTTGAAAAAAATTTTATTATAAAAACTAATTTAAATAATTATTAAATCAGATGAGAAAAGCGGTCACAAAATCACCGCAACTAATCTTATCGACTGAATCGGACTTTTGTGGCAGTAATACCAAAGCATTGGCGTCTTTGGCACTCAAGAGGCGACTACTCCGTTGATTGCCAGTGAGTCGGGCCGTCGGGAATCCGGCCTCCAATCCTGGCGTACCAAACGAGACGACCGCGCGGGCGAACTCTGGCCTATCGTCCAAACGGTACACCTTTTCATCGCATTCAAGTTTCACGCGTTGGCAGCGCTGGTATGTCTTGATGTCCACCAACTCATTAACAGTGTCTTTGTTGGACAGACAGTCGAGCAATGGTTTGACAAAGAGGTTGAATGTGACAAAAGCGCTGACAGGATTGCCTACGAGTCAATCAAAATGGTATGAATTATTATGATAGACACCAAACACAGGGGAGGACTGGTATCAAATGGTGTGACAATACCTGGTAAACCGAAAATGTATTTTTTGCGACCATCGATAGAAACGGTGGCAAAAGTGACCGGTTTTCCGGGCTTTACATTTACGCGTCCGAAGTGTATTTGTGCGCCAAAGTCCACTTCCATCACGTGCTTAAGCAGATCCCGTTCGCCCATCGATACGCCACCCGATGTGATGAGCACATCGGCGGTCAGTAGTCCGCGTCTCATACGGCCGAACACGTCGTTCACGTCGTCCACAGCTATTCCCAAATCCATGGATTGGACGCCGTTTTGGCGCAAAAGTGACATCAAAATCGGCCGATTAGAGTCCCACACCTGATACGGGCCCAGAGTTTGGCCTACGTTTCCGATCTGACCATTGATTTCAAAATAATTGAAGGAATTTAAAATTAAAAGTTATAAACAAATTATACATAAGATATGTACTAAACCTCATCGCCTGTGGACAGTACGGCCACCACTGGTCGTCTAAACACTGGGATCCGCTTATGAACACCGATAGAGGCCAAGAGACCCAACTCTATTGGTCCCAATTGAGTGAATCGGCTCACAATTGGTTTGCCATCGAATGGGATATCTGTAGAAAAATATTTTCAATTATGTAAACTATTTTATGTAATTTTACTCTAAGGCTCAACACTTACCGCAACCGACGGGACGTATATCCTGACCAACTTTGGGCACATTCTCAATACAAATCACTAATTCTTCTCCACTCTGTGGCGAAGATAACAAAATCTAATAAATTTACTCTTAAATAAAAACTTGTTGCCATACTTCGGACAATTGGACAACTTTGGTGTCCTCGACCTGAACCACGGCATCACAACCGGCGGGCAGTGGCGCACCCGTACTGACTCGCATACAGCAACCACTGGTCAGTTCAATGCTCTCCATCGGCACCTGACCGCCAGCTGTGGCCGCTTTTGCCAATACTTTGCGATCACCGGAACCGTCCGCCGCCACCACTGCATAGCCATCTTTAATAGAGGCCCGGAATGGCGGCAAAGGCCTAAAGACAACCAATAAATCGTTTAATTAATCACAATATCCGACGCAAAGGTTACTAACACAGCGGCACAAATACTGTCGGCCAGCAATCGTCCCATCAACTGATCCAAACAATCCAAATCGATGTATTCAACGTCAGTGAAGGCCACACACTCGTCAATAATCTTATTGATAGCGGTGTCCATCGAGATCATGGGGTACTGCGAGTGTCGGGGCCGCAGACCAACGCTTTGCAGTTGAACCTTGCCTTTGATTTAAAGGGCGAAATAAATTATCATAAATGGTGTCAAACAATATTTGTGCCATAATTTGAGACAGACTTCTAAGCGGTTGCTGTAGTTGTTTATGAGCGGAAGCGGTGGCTGTGGTGTCGCCCCTCAACTGGTGTATGGCGTGGGCCAACACCGGCTCCACAATAGCGAGACACTCGTCGCACGCTTTAGCACTTCCGGGAAAATTGATTATTAGTGTCCGCTTTCTTATGCCCGCACTTAACCTATGGTCGCAATAAATATTACTTTCCTGTGATAACAATGACGGTAACAAATCTATCGGTAATTTCTATACCTCGATAACATAGCCATTGGTGTCACTTTCAACGAACCGCTAGTCAAGGCGTGAGCAATACCGGGCGCATCCCTGTCCACAATGGCTTTGGTTGCCTCTGGAGTGACCTTTTTATAGTAGGCATAAAATTGTCATTTTATTGTTTATAAATTAATGCAAATATGATTACATCGCGTGCTGTAAAGCCGGTGCCACCGGTTGTTACAATTAAATCCACACCGAGAGCTCTATCGGACCACTCGCACAGTTTACCCTTTAACATTAACATGGTCAAATTATATAATCTTGATGGTTTAACCAGACGTCTATTTACCTGAATCCTGAGCACATCGTCGGCCACAATAGATGTCTCGATCACATCAAAGCCCTTACCGGTGAGCCGACTGGTCAGCAGCGGTCCACTCGTGTCCTTTGAGTGGTCGACATCGCAAGTGTCGCTTACGGTCAACACACAAGCCTTGAACGACATTATAACACAACCCGTGAGACAATGAAATCACAAACACTTCAACACAATTACCAATAAAATCACAATTTATTAAAAACTATTTTAAGTCATGGGAGAGAAAAACAAACAAAAGTAAATGCATTTGAAATTAAAATGTTTTTGTTAGCAATTTATAAAATATAATAATATTTCGTTTATAAGTATATAATTAATTTCAATAGTTTTTGTCTATAAATATAAGTATAGTTTACATTTCAAGCGACGATTAATTTTTATCTAAACCTCAAATAGCATTCAATATATAGTTTTCATTAAAAAATTAAAATCAATTTCAGATATCGTTTGCGATATAATTAATAAATGTTTAAAAACATAACAACTTTTTATCAATATATTTATAATATAGCCGTGAAATGTCTGTATAATGTACGCCAATGTCAGGCAATAGTAAACAAAAATATATAATAATTTAAAAATACTTCAATTAAGAGTGTGTTAAATGAGTAGTGAATAAAACCATAATAAAAATGTTAGACATGTGTTAGAGGGAGGGAGAGAGAGAGAGGCGTAGGAAAGAAGTGCGCAAAAGCTGTATTTGTGTAATGAGTTTTGTATTCAAATTGATTGAAGGAATTAATATATGATTTGTATGTAATTTCTATACAAAAATAGGGAAATCTCTTCGGAAAATACAAATACATCTAAAGGATGGCGAAGACTATGAAGAAGGAGTGGGCGCTTATAGGATAGGATAGCAGTGCCCGCACACCACAACCTGAAAGGCACGCACACACAGGTGTGGACAGTGATTGTCTTCTAAACCAATATTGTGTAACCTATGGAACAGCTGCTATACATCGACCACAAAGAATGCGTTCGGATGTCTTCGAGTGGCCGTCGATTGTGTGGTCGAAAGGCTTGGATCCAATACTTGATTCAGTACTATAAGGAAAAACAATTACAAAATTAAATCAATTAAAACAAACAGACAATTAAAATAACAAATCCGATATATTTTCCAATCGATACATACCATCAAAACTTTGCTCTAATTTTTTCAGATTCTTGAGTATTGTCGACAGATCTCTGCTGACACTAACGCCACTCTCGGTGGCCGAGCGTCTGAATTGGTCGGTGTTTGCCGACAATTGCGGCAATAGTTCGTCGATGAGAAACGTGGTGTCGCTGTTGTCTTCGTGTTTGTTTCGTTGACTCTCCAACAGTGACCGCATGTTTGAGCGTAACTTTTGCGACAACTGGTGTATAGCGG